GCAATTCTGATTCATGTAAATAACAGTTTCGGTTCTATTTGTGAAGTGTCCTATTTGATTTTCTCACATTCGAAAATCGCGCATTTGAAGAAAAATTTTTGTTCAGGCATCTGAACGTTTAGAATATTCATTTTAAAATGATTTGAGTGCACAGCATTGAAATCTGATTATTACCTGTTGAGGTTGTTTGAGTTGCTTGCTTCAACTCTCGCGCAGTCATTGATATCAGTCAGCGTTCACTCCAAATTTGTCGTTTCGTGATGCAATTTCTTGACATTAGTCTATTGACTTCGTTCGCATGTTTTTGATCCATCATTTCTCTCACTTCATTTAGATCCGCTCAATTCTATTGTTTTACAGGATTAAGTAACGCTAAAATGTCATCGCCGCAAGGCCAAGGAACTTCCCCCATTTCAGTTCGTAAGTTCTCAATCGTCTTTCGCGACATTCTTATCAGCAAGTATTTTTGGAGTGAGAGATGTCTTCTTAACTCTTTTGTTTCAATGAAGACTGCCTTCGTTTTCCTGATTGCTTACAGTTTTTTACGGTTTTGTAATAGTGCAAATGGATTGGTGATACTGGACATAAGGAGCTGAATAACCTATCATACTATGGCTGAAAGCGAATTTTGCGAGACGCGCCTTATCTTTTAGCACCTCGTGAGCGGACCTTATCAGTCGACTCTGAGAACCTGTCGGTGTCATCGTCGTCAGTCGGATCTCAACCACAACGCAAATTTTCGCTGACTGGTCTTCTCGGTCGACGCACATCAGTATCTGAGGCATATAAACGCTATTCAGGCTTTACGACCAATGGAGGTTCGCAAGCACTTCCACTGACTGACGTTTCTTTTGCACAAACATTTTTACAGCAGTTTGGATGTTGCGAAATTAATCTTTGATGCATTAAGTAGGGAAAAACGAACAGAAATTAAAAATGCGAAAATATTTATCGGTAAACGCGATGTTTTTGAGGATGTTGGATGTGGTTTCGTTCGTGCTATAAGCAAATGAAAAGTACAATGTGAAAAAAGCTTTATTATCATTGTGATCAATTATTGCGACGTCACACATTCAATTATCTCTTTCAGATGGTTTCCAACGAGAGGACTACAGAAAGCCAGTTGATATCAAAAAGGTTTATATCATTCGTATTCTCAGAGCAGTTGTTTGAAAGAAAGAAACAAATTAGCTTCTCTTATGGTAATCATAAAAACAATTTTCAGCATTTTGGTATCGATGAACATGGGAATACGGTTGAGAAGCACAACCAAGGTTATTTTCTGCCATAAAGGTTCATAACGTTTGACGGTTTCGTCTAGCTAAGTGTGCGTGTTTTCATTGAGATCTCAATAGCAATTCGTTTTTACTATCTGCAAATGATTCTCGAGATGCCGTTTATGAAAATAATAAATCGTTTAATTGATCTTACAACGGTGAAACTGATGCGAATATGGCAAGTTGAATGTTATGGTGAGTGAGTGTGATTATGTTCGGTATTTTCAGATCCAGGTCAGCATCAGATGTCGTTAATGTTGTAAGCGTGCGTGTTGGTTAGAGCATTCATAACGAGTGTTCGTGCCCATCGCTCAACTTTGTCATATTGTATGTAGAAGTGTATATACGTTCATATTTTCAGTTCAGCTCTCATGGATTACATAAGCAATTCATTATCAACATAATTTTATATGTTTATTGTTGAAAGATATGTAACGAGACCATTTGGATTGTATATCAATCACAAAAAATAAAACTGTATTTTGAATGTACTTTTGATTATGCACCGTTCGCCAATGTTTGTACATGTACATATTTGTCAGTCACCGATTCAGTATGGCACTTTATTAGTTGCTGTTATCAGTTATCAGTTGAATTGAAATCGCTTGTTGTTTATTGATGGTTTTTGATGGAGTGCAAATAAACGTTCATGCATGCAATGCATTTTATCTCACAAATGCCTTTTCAAAAATTTTTATCGACGATGAATTGAATTTTTTCGTTGCTGGTCGAAAAGCGAAGTCGCGGATTCTGGCACAACGGATCTAACAGTACAAAACAGTACAATTTATTGGAAGTAAGTTGGATGGTGATATTGAAATCATGATCGTACGGTCGACTATAATAGTCACAGAGCTTCATTTCTTCTAAACATGGCGATGCACGAGCTGTTCAGATCACGCACGTTCAGATGCGATTTCATAAGAACAAAATCCAATTTGAACTGGGAACTATTGAAGTAAAGTAAATATTCTATACGAATATGTTCAATGGTACGGTTTAAAGCTCAGCTGCAGATCATTCACTGATCGGTTGTATTTATGATCAGTGCTCACATCGATCCATTCTTGAAAATATCTCTCCCCTCAAATGATTTCAATCAGAAGCTGATTGTTAGTGTATTAAGGTGCGAGACTTTCATCAAGTGCACTTCAGTGATTGCCTCGTAAGTGAACAACAGAAAGTGCGAACCTTTGTCAGGTAATATATGACAGAACAAGCGAAGGTATTTATTGATCTCAGACGCATCGCATTATTTGCACTTTGTAAATTCCTCGGTGGAATCAAACACTCACCAGTTCAATTTGACGATGCGATACCATCGAGCAAAATCAACCGCTGTACATTTGTTATGAAATCGTAACGAAACTACGGAAAAATAACGAAAAAATCTCCTACAGTTGGATTATTACTGCCATTCAAAAAGATTAATTTATCCGTTTAGCTTTATTCACATTTAACTAACGGTTTTTTGGCATTTACGTGCCGTACCTATTGTAAAGGGATTTGAGTTTCACAAAATCATGGAATATTTCTGAATTTTTAGTGAATTTTCAGCACAGCTCTTAGAAAAAGAAATCTGTAATTTCGTAAAAGAAGAATTTCAAATGAGCAGATTTAATACCGAAATGATCAAACTTCGTTCTATAGCTCAAAAAATGGTTTTCCAAAGCCGACTGGCGGCACGACATCTGAACAGAAAAGTCGCATTCTGAAACTAACAACTGTCGAAATCGATCCGAATGTACACAATACAGTGACTGTACCTCAGTATTACCAGTTCACAGCATTAACAAAAGTTTCATTTTGGTTTTTCATCATTTATTCAGTTTGATCTTATAGTCAACATGTAAAATGAGCGTTTCATATTTTCTCATGTTACGTATTTACACATATCGATAGATAATTGCGTAAAGCGATTAGATGCTCGTTGTGCAGCGGATGAACTTTAATCATTACGTTGTTTGAGATTGTTTCCTAACATCAAGGAGCGCTAAAAAAATCTTCGTGCTATGAGAAGAGGATACGTTGTATTTTTTGTGAGTGAATGAGCGCACTTATCTTGTGACTGAGTGAATGTTTTCGCCAGCAATCAGCACATATGTTCGTTAAATGCACGCAAACGTTCTTGTTTACGATCCTCTTTCACTTGAAGCCGTCTTCGATCGCTATGCACATATATTTAGGTGCATCATATTAATTGCTCCATCCAAGTTACACTTCATTCCTTAGCCATGCTTCAGTGTGATCCTGTTGAGCAACTCCAGAGCCTATAGTCTGCTGCCCACTTCCACTCGATAAGCACATCTCCTTCTTGAAGATGCTACTGATAACGAGATTCACTCTATTCATTCACAATGCTCGCAAGTTCATTCAGTTACCACCTTTCAAATAATTTTGGGAATGAGTTCAGCGGATCATCTGTTTAGTAGACTATGAAATCAGTCTTCCGTAAATCAATTTTCGCATTTGTTTTCTGACTGCGGGGTGATATGCGGTCAGTCGGTCGGATGTGTCAAAACAATCGTTCTAGCCTGACTCGAGTCTCAATATTAAGCTCTCTGAGAATGAGAATGCTATAACCAGCGCATGAACCAAGATGAAAATCTCCTATTGGGTGTTTCGAAGCAATCCAATGCAATAAATTTTATCATCCTTCCGCAGATTGTATCCATAAATTTTTACCGATTCTGGAATTCTTGTTTCTTGATCGAGGTTCTATGGGAATGAACGCCATACGATTGAGACGTCACGTTTTTTGACGTTAATTTTGATTGTTTCGTTTGTAGATTTTGATAAAAGACTAACGCTTAATTCTAGTGCAAAATGTCAACATCTCCTCCAAAACAACCTGGTAAGTTTTCGATACTTCTTTATGAAATATTTTGACACTCAGTTTTTTTGGTTCGGCACGAATTTCAACCGGAAGAAAGCATTCGGTTGTGTCTTTCAGATGAGATTGAGAGGGCTCCAAAGGTTTAAAATACATCTAAATTACTCAATGTCTCGTCTTCCAATCGCATCACTACCAAAACATTTAATGAAAAGAAACTTCAAATTAGAATATTTCAAAACAGATTCAGATGAACGATCAGCAGCTATCACTCACTATTTGCTAACAGCATTCTTGATAGAGATCGTAAGCGTTCGATATTGATGATAGATACGTCTAAATGATTTCAGTTGTGCAAGAACCAAAAGAGCGACGTTCGTCTCTTTCGCAAATGCTCGGACGACGTACATCGGTTGAAGACGCTTTTAAACGTTATCAAGGATACACTGTTAATGGAGGTGAATCACTTCATTAGGCGTCATCAATTCATCAGCACAAAGCGTACTTTCAGTTCTGATAACTAGTCAGCAGCACATTATCAGACGTCAAGATTTGTTACGAAAACGGCAATCGTCTGAACATAAGTTCAGCAACGACGTCGTTCAAAACAACCAAGCGCTTGTCGTTGTCATCTTATCAATTCATTTTGGTAACCAACTTATATTCAAACTTTCAGATGGATTCCACAGAGAAAACTATATGAAGCCGGCTGGAGAAAAGTCAAAGCCAAGCTAAGTGTTGAACACGGTTGAATCAGAGCTTACCATCATAAACACGACTGAGAATTTTAACTTGCTGAGAACAAGTTGTATTTGCTTATTGATTGTTTCAACATTATCGTTATGCTATTTGGTTATGTTATTTTCATCATTATCTAGTGTGATATTTCGAATTCATGATATGGGTTTACCATTGCATTTCTTTCAATATTGGAATGAGAATGCTGCAGCCTCTCTAATATAAATATTTCTTTTTCAATTGTTCGTGCTCGAATTGTGTTATGGAAACATTTCCCATTTAGTTTCTCACTGAAAAGAGCCTCTTCCGATCGGCTGATCACTGATTTTCATGTTCAAGCATTTTGCTTTTGTTTTCAGCAATTATTTGAGTGTATTCCTCGAAAAGCAACAAAAACTTCTTGATCCAAGTAAACTCTGTCAAGAAGAGGTTCTCATCAAAAAACAACCATCCCATCAAACTTCTTCGCAACTGATACTGTATCTGTTGTGTCTTATCAGTGTAAGTATTGTAAATAAACATGTAGTGTGCAACGTTGAGTGCAAATAATGTTTTGCTTAAAGAATTCTATTCGGGCGAACACTAAAAAACATCCCATCTATAATACCACATCACACAATAAGAACATGTAAACTTTGCTCGCTATATGACAGCAGACTGCGTGCAGTTGAAAGAGAAAAGTGGATCGTTCTGAACAGCCGACCAACTTCATATTTTTAACTTTCTTAAGTGATCACGTATAGCACCGAGTAAACGCTCAAAGCATCGAGCTTCCACATGCTTTCATTCGTCGACATCATTGAACTTCTAAAATCACCACGAAAGAAAATATCGCAGTGTAAGAAAATTACATTAACAATTTAACGTTGTGTGGTGGGGGAATTACGTGGATTGAGTAAATTCGGGGATTAGTCCCCGAAAATCCTCGATTTTCTCCGTCTCGGACATTTTCTCCGTCCACGCAACACACTAGATTGATCTGCAAAGATACAATATATATGAATGAGCGCGACTGCGCTATTTGAGATAAATTTAAGAAAGCAGCTATATCTCCCTAGGTAAACATAATTGCTCGGCAAAATGTATGATATTCTGGATCTAGGGGTTCTGTGAAATCGATTGAAGTAGTGAAATTCATATGCTGCTGGGCAAACCTGAGAGTACGGTAGGTTTAAATGTGGAACCTCTATAGTTTTGAGATTGATTTATGAAAACACATATCTCATCAAGTATGCAAAATTTTTCGGCAAAATATTTGACATTCTGAATTCAGAGGTTCTTAGGAATGAATGGTGTGAAGAAATTCATATGTTGCTGGGCAAAGCTGAGGGTACCGGTAGCTTGAAAATGGTAGACCCGTAGAGCTATAGTATAATGTTGCGGAGTGTAAGAAAGAAACCGAAAGAATGAGTTGTCACGATCACTGAAAATGATCGTTAGTTGAACGGTTCTGACTCAACAACTGACTTAAACCTGTTCGTTTATCTGTTTATATAAAATAAGTATCATTCAATAATTACGGTCAGTTCCATGAATGACTCTCCCTTGTTCATGGTTTGTTTCACGCCTTAGAAAACTTCAGATTCGTTCAATTTTATTTTAATGCATTTATTCAATTTCTAATCAGTCAGTCTTTCTTTTCAGTACATCAGCCAGTATCCACAATGCAATTGCTGCTTGTCATAATTGCTGCTGTGATAATCGCTTCCACTGATGGTGTGCCACCACCTCCCCCAGACTATGAGGATCTCGGTCCCCCACCACCTCCACCAGAGGATCTCGGTCCCCCACCACCTCCTCCAAAGAATCTCGGTTCGGCCCCACTTAATGCTGCCCCTCCACCAATTACTGTCACTGCTTGGCCG